ACTTATGCTAGCATTGTTACTAGTTATAAACGTAATATATTGATTGATACAAAACTCATTATTATAAAGCCCTAAGCTAGCATATTTATTCAATCTAGCTTTTAAAATGATGAAATTACTATAAATAGTTAAAAGAAAAAATTATGACATACATATCATGGATTTTAGTATTCCGTATGAAGCTGTATCATAGCAACATGCACGTCATAAAAATCAAGTTGCAAGAAATGAAACACATGCATGTAATCATGATGTATGTAATAAAGAGTAAAAACAAGGTTGGAGAATGAGGACGAAATAAAGTAAGCATTGTATGTAACGTCTTAATTGTAATAATAATAATAATCATAGTTCCTTTGATTTATGTTATGTACAACATTTAAACACGACAAATAAGAATTAGACTTTATTCTTGTAAGCTTTTAAATAGAGCAAAGCAAATATCAGTAAAGTCAATTAAATTTTTGTAGAGCAGAGCATTACAACAGGTAAAAAAAAAAAGGATCTTAGGGCATATTCTCTTCAACTTAATTTCAGTTCAGTTCAACTTTTAATTTCCTTCTCTCGTAAACAATTCATTTCAGCTTTAGTTATTTCAATTCTGTTCAATTTAGTTCAGCTCAGTACAGTAAATCAAAACAAACCCTTACAACGTCTAATAAAATTTGTGAAGACATGTATGTATGTATGGCTGAACACTAGAGATCGAGAGAAAATAAGAGTGACAATCTGAACAGGAGTAAAATAATAATATCCCACGTTTCTAGGGAAGTTAAGTAGTGAGTGTACGTGCCAAAAGGCAAAGTCAAATAGAAAGGCTTTTCATGTCCCCTTTCTTGTCCCATCACACATTTCCTCATTAAACCCAACATTTTCATTTCTTAAGTCAATGCTTAACATTTGCTAAACCGGCCAATGAGAAACAAACAAACCCTAATTATTTTAATTTTATTCAACAATACTAGTAGTAGACAAAGAACAAAAGATGGTTGGTAGAAACTAGTCTTGTTTTGGGATCCAAAAACGTTCATATATAAGCCTAGCTATATATCAAATTAAATATTACCTTGATTAATTAGTTTTTGAGGGATTGATATCTCAATCAAATTCTGCTTTAAAGTAATTTAAATCTAATAGTTTTGACTAATTTTATTAGTTTTGCTTTTAAGTGATCTTTAATTGTTTTATTAGTTCATGTAAATTTGTATTTAATTTACTTCTAGCGATAAATAGTAACAAAACAAAAACATATAGATGCAAATAACAATGACAAGGATTGACAACAATCGAGTTTTGAGCTTGGATCAACTTTCAAGCCAAACTTTTGGAGGTCGAATTAAAGCCCAATAACTTTCCAAAATCAAGTCGAGGAGAAATAAGGATATGTCATGTATGGACTAGCGTTTTATTAGGCTACATTCAATTCATCTCGCTTACACCACCATATGACATCATTATTTTCAAGTCACATCACTTCAATATACTTTTATAACATTACTATTGTTAAGTCACATCACTTCAATAGACTTTTGTGACATCATTATATTCCAAAATTTCATAAATTTCAAAGTAGAAACATAACTCATTATTGGTACTTTATAGAGATCTTTATAGGCGTGTTATGGTTTCAAAGCACCTTATATGATCCCGGGAGTCACCCCACGTATTTAGTTCATTTTTTTGAAAAATGTCAAAAATTGACCCGAAACCGTGTATTATAGCCTTCAATTTTGGACAATTTTTCACTTTTTTTGACTCGGAAACAAAAATTGTCGAGATGCTTCCCATGGACCCTAATACACCCCGAGAGTCCATTTGGGTGGGTAAAACCATCCACAATATGTCTTCAAACTGTCAATTTACCCGTTTACAACTTGCATCGATTTCATAAACCCGAAGTTACCACGGACATTTATGGCAACATATAATGATCATATATGATTCCAAACGACATTATATGACCCTGGGATGTATCACCTGGTATCTCGAGACTTTTCGACATCGGGTCCCGAAACCTCTAAAATTGGCCAAAAAAACGTGTATTATAGACTTCAATTTTGTCAATTTTTGACTTTTTTTTAATCGAAAATAAAAATTGCCGAAAAATTACATATAGACCCTAATACCCTGTGGGAGTCTAATTGGGTGGGTGGAACCATATATAATACTCCCTCTGTCCTCGAAAAAACGAATTTTGCGGGTATTTATAAAGTGAAAAAGATAGTTGTAAAAGTACACTGGAAAGTGAAATTCATATGGGGTTTACAAAAAAAGTAAAGAGAGAAAGTAATAAAAGTATATGAAAAAAGCAAAATTCACGTGGGAAAGCTAACTTTGCACAAATATTGTTGTAAATTGGAGAGTATTTTTTTTACGGGGAAATTGGAGAGTGTTTTAATGCAAATGAAATGATTATTTTAGGACTAGATTTAGGACATAAAGATCATTTTTTCGGAGACTGATGAAGTACTATATTACCTCCGTTAATTATTATGTGCAACTTTAGAGTATAACTTGTGAGATATAAAATATTCCAAAGTTGCACATAATAACTAACGGAGGCAGTACAATGAATAACATTGTTGATTTTACAAAATGCAAAAATGTTTGAACACAAAAAAACATTGTAAAATGGAGTTAGCTTCGAGAAAGAAAAGCAAAAAAGGAGGTTGCCTTTGGGGGCAAGCTTTTGGGGAAGAAAACCCTGCTTGTTTTGGATAAGACATACTCCGTAGTAAGTTTTTAAAATAAGAAAATAAAATTAGAGAGCAGCCAAAGTAGAGGTGAAGAAATGTAACAGTTAAAAAAGAAAAAAAATAATAGAAAAAAAAATTAGAAAATAATTTTGGGGATTTGCAAATTCCCAAATCAAATTGAAGTGGGCATTTTCAATAAACAGAAAAAAAAGGAGAGGCGGGGGGACATTAAATACCTCTAATTTTGCAGGGTGGTCTAACCAATATAATTAGACACATAGAATCATGCTAACACACACATATATTATCACACTATATATTGTTTCATTTTGTTTAATATTTTGTTTCATCACCTTACTAAGAAACTCCCGTCCTTATTTGAGACAAACACTCCTTGTGGGTTTCGAGCTGGTACGTACTTCTCTAACTCGTTATTAAGAAACACGTCTTCTTTCTCCATTTACATATGATATCACTAGTTTAAAGGCCTCTTTTGATATACTGAATTGAAGTGAACTGACTGAGCTGAACTAAATTGATTGGAGTTGAATTAAATACAGTTGAAAAAAATATTTTATAAGAGAAGAAAAATAGGAACTGAACTGAACTGAACTAAAATTAAGTTGAAGAGAACATGCCTTAACTGCTATGTTTGTTAGTACTATACTTTGCCCGTTAATATCTTATGTCTTATAAAGATATGTTTATACGACTATACATACTGAATGAAAACTTATAAGTATCACTCCCTTTCTCCCTTAATATAAAATCTCTTTATAGCATTTATTACTCACATAATAAAAAGTAAGAGGTTTTGTACTCCGTATTAAGAAACGAAGGGAGTACTACGTAGTTATATGATAATAGTGAAAATTACATGTTAGTTACAGTTTAAAACTACTCGAGCTAATTGATATACGCTCGACAACCATATTATATGGCACAACCTTAATTAGTATTACGATTTGACAATAAAAAAAAAATAGATGGAAAATGGGATTATGTTTAGTTCCCATTGTACAAAGAAGTTGTATTATCTCTGTGAAATGAAGGCCGCCAGATTAGACCAAAGTGATCCGATCTTCTGCTATCCAATGACAAAATCTTGCATGTGTTTGCTTCACAATTTTCAAGGCAACACGAGTGTACATTTCTTTAAGCTTTGCCTGTCCTTATTCATGTCTCATTTTCTTGTTTATTATCAAATCTTGATGTCAACCACTAATTTTGTTTAGAGCTATGCTAATTTTTAACTAATTACTTTGTTAGAAGACGCGATGAGATGACATGGATTTGGCTCGAAGTTAGTTATTTAAGAAAAATATGTATTTAACTCGAAGGTGTTAAAGAGAAATTGTAACTTGATTAAAAGTTGATTAGAAGTTATTAAGAGAAATATAAACTTGACTCGGAGTTAGGTATTTAAGAGAAATATAAACTTGACTTGAAGGTATTAAGAGAAATCTTAACTTGATTAGGAGTTATTAGAGAAACCTTATGTCGGTACTACGTGAAGATGGGTCAACTCAAATTCGACCGCCTGATTGATGAGTGTGTTGTATATGCTCAGTTATCCTACTACGTAGTATTTATTAGCATGCAACATGAAAATTATCGGAAGTCAAAAATGAACGCATACTGTGTTATCATAGATTCATAGATAAGTGATGTTATTTGACTAACTTGCAACTTACGTTCCATCATTGGCCTTACAAGCTTGAGAAAATATGCTCCCTCGTCTCTACAATTTTTTAGTTTAGAGGTGATTATCTTACAAAAAAGTCAAAACAAGACTTATTGAAAACGTCAAAGGAAAAATAATTCTTTGTAAACAATCAGTCAAGATCATCTCATTACTCAAAAGTTAGTAGTGACTAGTGAGTAGTTCATCTTTTGAGATAGACTTAGGACCTGTTCTAAATGAGTAACCTGAGCTAAACTGAACCTAACTTATTAGAGCTGAGCTGAACTGAATAATTTATGAGAGAAGTAAACTAAGAACTGAACTAAACTGAACTGAAAATAATCTGAAGAGAACATACCCTTAACCCAAAACCCATACACCAATAACAATGAAAAAATAAAAAGGAATGCAATTTGATGGTAGATATTTTTTTTTGGCAATTATAGTTCAATGTTATTTGAAGTCATACATTGTGTAAAATTGGCAAACGTTGCCCATCTGAGTCATACTAAACGACCGTCTTTTTCTTTTTTTTTTTGAGAGAGAACTAAACGACCGTCTTTGCAAAGACTGGATACATACATTATTAGAACCTACTTCAGCCAACGTTGAGGCGCAAATAAACAAGACTTTGCCTAGTAGGTTAAAGTATGAGAGTTATTACCCAACACCAGAAATTAAATTAGAGATGCATCATTGCTCACGTAGGGACTTCGGCTCCCTCACACCCAAAAAAAAAGGTCATTCTAATCCTGAATGCACATAAATTCCACAAAGCGTAATTAAAAAAGATAAAAATAATGTAAGATTAAACAAGAAAAAAAATGAAAACAGACAATATACAATTGAAGCAGGAAGACAGTTACAGGGATGTGCTCATGTGTAAACCCTCTCACAAGTAAGCTGAATCAACATCAATTGTGAACCTCTAACAGTGAATTATAAAAAAATGTGGGTGGTGGTAATTTTGGGGGGGTGGTTCCTAATCTATACTTCGGGACAAAAACTTTGATTAGGAAAGAGACAACCTACGAAAGATCCCATAGAAGAGTTGCTAGTTACGATGCCCAACACCGAAATGAAACCTCCCAGTTTTCTTGTCATTGAAGGCGTATTCAAGCCGTAGAGGACCTAAAGGAGACTCCACGCGGATACCAGCTCCATACCCGTATCCACTCCCAGGTTTACCTCTTGCACCAGCAGGATCACCTTCAAATACAAAAAAGATATATAATACTATGAAACATCACAAATTTAGTTTAATCCACCAAAATCTAGATCTATGTGGAACAAACAAAAAATCATGCCTTTCTAAAATGCTTATAAGATTAGAAAAGATGCACATACCAGGAACAGATGAGCCTGATCCAAGGTCAGTTCCATAATCAGCAAAAAAGGCACCATCTACTGGACCAAACTGAAATAGAAAAATATTATGTTCAAGGGATAAGTCAATGGTATCACCGAGATCTTGTTGACTATCTTGTTGAATGTAAGAGAAGTGTAAACCATTAAGATCATTAAACCAAACAAACAAAAAAAGTATTCACAATTTTAACTTTTAAATCCCATTACAAAAAAGGCAAGATAATCTACATTGCATTCCCAAGATACAGAAGGATGAAATTCAAAACAAAAACGTCACATACACTTTCTGGTTGCATCTCTCTTAGAAGCTCTTACACCTTCTACTGAGTTGAACGAATGCAAAATGTTAAAGCAACTGCATGACGTCAACCACTAAGCAAACAGTGGACTTTGGCTAGTTTGCTAAGAAGCTGGGATGTTAATAACCAAATTTCAAAGATCCATTTTTAACACATTGGTCCATTCTAGATTCCTAGTTATGCTAAGGCTTTAATTAACAAAATTATAGAATAACTAGTGTAAGTAGTGATGCTAGCTAGGTTATACGTACATAATATTACACATTCCTAAGTCACCTTCCCGACTTCCCACATAAAAGAAATTGGTGTCAAAGTCTTCATTTCCAAAAACTAGGCATACTTGAATAACAAGATGATTAAGAGATGCAGAAATTGAAGCAAATCACTTCTATAAGGATTTCAGAATCTAAGTCTACATATACAGAGACAAGTTGTATGAAAAACATGCAATCAGTTGAGCATTTGACATACCAGAGGGAAGGATATTTCACCGCAGCCAACCACATAGGAACGGCCTGAGCCAACAGCACCCTCTTCATATCCTCTCACACTGTTTGTGCCACCAATGGCAAATGCTTCATGAGGAGAGAATTTACCCAGCACATTACCACCAGACAAACTGAAAATCCAAAGGTACAATTGATTTAGTGTCAAAAAGTTCAAAATTTCAAAAAAAGAAATGAAGATTGTACCAATCATTTACACACAAGCAACCAAAGACCAAGGAGCATAACAAACCTTAAAAGAAGATTGGCTGGCCCAACCTCTGCCCCTGTCCTGGCCCGGGCATTTACTCTATTAAAACTCAACCACTCTGGCAAGATAGGAAGACCTTGTTCCATGCTGAAGACCAACTGCATAAAGGTACAATATGAGCAAAAGAAGGAATAATGAACAAAATACGTGTTTCTAAATTAACTGATAACTAACCATTGAGGATCCTAAATCACCAGTGTAGGCACACTCACATTTGGTAAGCAACATATTATCATGAGTATTCCCACTGAACACAACATAAAAGCACATCAAATACAGTTCAAAAGTTCATACAAGATTAACAAACAGCAATAAAGTGGCAAGACTTTGCAAATTTTGATGTCAACAATGGCCTATACCTTGCAGTAAGCGGGCTGCTGTAAAAATCTTTTATAACAGGATCCCCCTTGTCATCATGAGCACCAGCTCGCTACAATAGCATAAATGGGAAATAATACAAAAATTAATAACATGAGTTCGCCTGGATAACTATCAGACAATGATATGCCCAAAGTTTCCATACATACCACCAGAAAAAAGCTATGCGTTCCGGTAATAGATAAATGAAGCATGAAACCAGCTAATTTTTTGATACCTGAAACGTAAGTCCAGCTGTTCCACTCCACTTTGGTCTTAGAGGACGACTGAATTCCATGCCAGCTGTTACACGGCCAATGGTTATATTACCATTGTTGGGCTGGTTACCATGGACCAAAGTACCAGGAGTTCTTGAATTCTGGATGACCAATTAAGACAAGTGACATGACCAAATTAAAAACGCAAAAAAAAAAAAAAAAAAAAAAAAAAAAAAAAGAACAATATCCTTTTCATCGTAGAAGATAGATAAGCAAGATTGTGGCTTATCACCTGAATCATAATTGACTGTTGCGTACGCTTATCATCACCTTCAATCCACGGGACTGTGTAATTTATTCGAAATATAGAGTCGATTTGCCCCCTCTCAAGGGAGACATTGACTTTTTGATTTTTACCAAAAAGATTTCTATGAGAATATGCAAAGCTGCAACCAAAATTAAGATAAAAAGAATCCAAGTAAAAAATTATAAGATCACAAAGAACTCAAGCAGATAAAGTTTCATCAAAAAGTATTACTCAGAGAAAACAGGCTTCTATACAAGAACAACATAAGCACCCCAAACATTTGAAACAAGACATATAAAAGATTCATCTAATTCTCCATATAATGCTCCCAGGAGCCCTCTACTTGATTTTCTCATACATACACAAGATGACAATATATATAGAGAGAGAGAACGCAACAAAAGCCAATGTGCCCAGAAGACAGCTGCAGGTTATGTAAAGAATTCAAGCCAGTATCTACCATGTAGCGGCCTTAGAAAGATATGAAATTTAATACAGCACATTTGGTATCTGCCTGTTGTCCATCCAACCTTCAAATACCTTTTTGCCAATTTAACACTGATGTGCCACTAACCCTATCACCATAAAAAATCCTTCATACACATAAGTTGTACATTCAACCATTAACCACAAATCATCGGCCAATCTAATACCAACAATTGAAATACTAGATGCCTAATTTAATCAAGGAAGATGCAATAGCTAAAGCTCTTCTTAAGTTATAAGAGAACAGCACATAATAGTTTCAGCTAGTGTGACATGATATATAAGATTGTACACAATTGGAATGGCCATGAACCTGCTAACGGCATGAAAAACAAAAGAATGGTAAAGAAGAATTATAGCTTCTTCAGATACTAAGAGTCTAAGACAACTCACAATTACCAAGGAAATCATACATGATTTATATTCATAGATATGCAAATCAGTTTGTAAAGAACTTTAAAAGGGTTAATTTTCTAAAGGGTATCCATCACTATGGCATGTAAGTCATGAATGGTGAGGATTTTTTATTTTACGTAGTGAACTCCAAAGCAATAGAAAAGTACCTTCCGATCAAACCAGACAATGGACCACTGGTTATCCTGCAAATTATATAGTAATAATGAATCAGAAGAAAAATATACATAGCCAAGACCCTTCATTTTAAAGACTGTAGATCATTATCACAGTTTCTTGTCTTACCCACTCGAAATTCCACCACCAGCTGAGAAACCTCCACTCACACGCTCAACCACATTCATTACCAAATCAACCTTACCAGTGTCTGGAGTGTAGAAAGCAAAAGAAAGACATTAGAATAATGAAAATAAGACAGATGCCAAATTCAAAGAGTATCATCAACATTATCGTATTTTTTCCAACATGAATATCACCATAGTCTCTAAAGAGTAATGAAGTGACACCAACAGCAAGACTTAAATGAAGAGATAACTGAAGCCAAACAATGTGGTTCGTAGGCAGAATATATATTAAATAGCCAAGCTACTGGGTAACAAGAAAATTCAATTTAAAGCCTAGGTTCAAGCAGCAGAGGGTATACTCTCCACCAACCATCAGACACATTGAAGCCAGGGATCAATTGACCTATCAACAAAAATTCATGCCTAAGGCCACAAATAAGGAGAGGATCGCACAATATAATAATCTCAACGGCTGTACATTCAAGCATCATCTTGGAGAGTGAAATGAACATGTCTTCAAAATACATTTTAAGCAGCTTGAATTTGTCATGCAGCCATGCCAACTACAAATTTAGCAACAGAACCCCATTCATTGTAAATTCATCAGTGAACCAGTGGTCAGCAGAAGACTAAAAAAGATTATTTTTTAAAAACATAAGAAAAAAGACGCCTGCAAACTGACCAGAGGGGAGGAGAGAAGTTTAACCGAGATAAGGTCCAACCTTACAATCAAAAACTTAACATAGCATCAAATCAACTTGAAATCACTTGATGATAAAATTGCTATTTATAGTTACCTCCGGCGGGCTGGGGAAAAATGCTAACATCTTCCATAATTCCCATAGTTAGAACTGTTTCAACATCCCTTTTTCCTTGATTTAAACTGTAAACCTGCAAAAGAAGCATGGGGAATACATAATAACATACTCCGTATCAGACTACAAAGTTTAAAAGTTGATATAATTTCTCATTATTATGATCATAACACAAGGAATTTCAAGCTGGAAAATAAAAAACACAGTGGCAAATTAACCAATGATAGAAACCCTACAAATTTCATTTAAACTAGGAAATTTTGACATTTGCTAGCAGGAAAAAACACCTCGATTCACATTTGCTACCGTTTAAAATTTTTTTTTTTACTTTGCTACAAACTAAATCAGAGTTTGTTAGAAATTACTACCACTTAACGGAATCCAAAGTTTATTCAAAAAAAAAGAAAAAGAATTTTTTTTTAAAAAAAAAAAAAAAAACAGCCACCCCCTCCCACCTACCAGCGGCCGGTGATCCCACCCCCCTCCTTTTCCCCACCCACAAAGCCAACACCCCCTCCCTTTCCCCTACCCACGAAGCCAACCCCACCGAAATCAACCCCATCCCCGTTAACCCACCGGAAGCGACCCCCCTCCCCTTTCCCCACCCAAAAACCGACACCCCTAACCCTAGACCACCCTAAACGGGTTTTAGGGTTTCGGGTTTCACATATGGTGGTTTTGTGGTGGTGGTTTAGGGTTAGGGGTGGCCGAAAAAGGTAGGAAAAGGGGAGGGGAATGATTCCGGTGGAGGGAATGGGGAGGGGGGCTGAATTCGATGGGGTTGGCTTCGGTGGGTGGGGAAGGTTGGCTTCGTGGGTGGGGGAAAGAGAAGGGGGGTTGGCTTCGTGGGCGGGGGAAAGGGAGGGGGTGGGTTCGCCGGCACTGGCCGCAAGCAAGGGGAGAGGAGGGGGAGGGGTGGCAGTTGAGGGGAGGGGGTGGTATGACGGTGGTTGAGCCCCACTAACGGAAATATTTAGTGTGTAAGGCATGAGGTAGTAATTTCTAAGAAACTCAGATTTAGGTGGTAGCAACAAAAAATAAAAAAATAAAAAAATAAAATAAAAATAATAATAAAATAAAATAAAACGGTAGCAAATGTGAATCGAGGTATTTTTCCCGGTAGCAAATGTCAAAATTTCCTTAAAACTATTGTGCTTGAAAGTTGAAATTGATTTCCAAAGGTGACAGAGAACTCTATATCTAGAAAATTATCTATAAAAGTTCAAAGTTCAAACAGCCGGTCTTATCAAGAATAGTATTTTTTTTATATAGAAAAAAAAAAAAAAAGGGTTGTACAAGTAAATCACAAATTTTCAACGGCTAAGAAAGTCAAAAGACAAACAGAATGCAGCTATAGGCAGAGAGGTATATACAATATTCTTCAGCAGCATCTCTAACTTAAAATTACAATTAAACACATTAAAGAACATGTAATATCACTTGATATATACAACAGTGAATGCAATAATTTTACCTGCCCTTTTTTAGTTGTAAGTTGGCGGAGTATTGTTTCAGGCTTTGTCTTCCCCACAGTTGGCTCACGGCTGAAAGAAAACAATTTAATTTACACAATTAGTTATAAACCCAATATATCAGACTATCAGTGGAACATAGACACCATTCTTTGTTTTTCGCCCATATCTTTTTCTTAATATTGCCTTTATAAAGAAGCAAATATGATAAATTTAAAACTTACGTCTTTCGATCAAGAAAACGTATTGAGACATCATTGACCTCAGCTTCAGCAATTTGTAGCCTTAGTATACCCCCTGAAAGAATCTCAACACCTGAAACCTGTAAGAATAGAATAATGAATCTTCTGCTCCAACTTATTACAGCTTTCGCCTTGGGGAAAAGGTAACAAAAGAGAATAATTTCATAACCTTAAAATGAAGGAAAAATGGAAAAGAATAATCCCACCTTTGCTCAGTCTTCCAAAAATAATCCCACCTTCTATTATTCCAGAAATAATCCCACCTTTAACATCAATCTTCTTTTAACAAGCCTTGACCGGTTTTATTAGGTTGGCAACTGGTTAGAGAAGGTAACTTGACAGGTGTTGCTATCTAATTGGTTATTTTGATGATTTAAAAAAAAAAAAAAAAAAAAAAAACTCCCACCCTTCCTTTCCTTTTACCCTCACCGGAGATAGCCTCAGCACATGGCAGCAGCCGGCCTGACCAGCCCCACCCTCCCAGCCGAAGCCGACCCATTCCCTTGCCGCCTGACCAACCCGACACCTTCCCCTTCCTTTTCCGATCCCTTTCCTCTTTTTCACTTAAACAATCTCACCCCTTTTCCTTCCCTTTTCTCCATTGAATGTACTCCAAGTTCACCATCAGAGCAGCGTGTGAGCTTTCTCTCCCCCATTAAAGCAACTTCTAAGGTAACATGGATTGTTTATATTAATAATTAAAGGGTTTATCGTCAATTCAATTGGTGATTTGGGTTAATTTAAACATTGTTAATTGTTGTGCTGGGGCGACGCGATGGTGGTGACGGTAGTGGACTAGCATTGAATTAGTTGAGGGAGGAGGTTGCGGGGTGAGATTTTTGGGTGACAATGGTGACAACAATGGATTTTGTCGCTATGAAATGCGGGGTGCAAATGTCTCTCTTTCCTCCATTAATTTCCCACTACTTTAACCCTTCTAAGTAGCCATGAACAATTCACAAAGCCTTTCTTCTTCCTCTTATAACTCTTCCATTTTCGTCCCTGACTAGGTTTCTTTGTTTTTTATTTCCTCTTTGTTTCTACTATATATGATTTCCTTTTTATTTTTCTTGATGAATGCATTTTTTATGTTTCTTGTTTGCTTTCTTGCGACTAAAATCCAATTTTCAATCTTCTTAAATTAACTGTGGAAATTTGGAGAATGTGTTTTTTTTTTCTTTTGGTTGTTAGACGACGATGGATTTTGTTGCTGGAGGTGAGTTCCAGGTGGGGTAGTGGGCTGGTGAGGATCGATGGTTAGCATTAGTTGAAGGAGGGATGGTGGTTTTGGTGGTGGTGAGGAGGTGGCTATTGGGGAGAGGTAAGGGGGGGTAGTAATGGGTGCAGGGTGGTTGGAAAGGAGGTGGGCTTATTTTGGTTGGCCATTAGTGTTGGGCGGCAGACTGGCAGTGGCAATGGCAGTGGTGATGGTGGAGAGGACTCGAGGAGACATGTTTCTAAAAAAAAAAAAGAAAATTATTTAACCGGTAGAACAAGTAACAAGTCAAAGGGCTTGTTAAAAGAAGATTGATGTAAAAGGTGGGATTATTTCTGGAATAATTGAAAGTGGGATTATTTTTAGAAGACCGAGCAAAGGTGGGATTATTGTTTTCCATTTTTCCTAAAATGAATTTTTTAAAAAAAAAACAAAAAAAAACAAATACTAACCATGCCAAAAAGGCCACGCTCCATATACCATCCATTGATGGATTCAATCACTTCATCCAAATGCCTGATATTGACCACTTTTCCTGCACAGCTTGATGACAAAATTTAATTTATTGGAGAGAAGACTTTAAGTAGCTCACAAACTTTAGCAACAGAGAGAGAGAAAGAAAACAAAAAAAAAAAAAAAAACACTATACCATATCCATCACGAAATTTATCCTCTACAAATTTGGACGGAAGAACATTAGCTCCTTCGCACACCAATCCCCGAAACTCCTGGTTTGGTTCTACCTTGTGCGACAAAAGAGAAAGCAAATCAAACAAACTAGCTACCTCAAAAAAGAAGAATATCTAGATTCAGGGCAGCTATATTCACCAAGATAATAAAAGCGTGATCATATAATATACCTATGGACATAAAGTAGGGCTTCAAGGGGTATTTAGATACTGACTACAGCACAAAACATATAACAAGGTAATATGGCATGTGCCACGAGCCCATGAGGATATATGACCGTGGCAGAGAAAATTAAATAAGCTCCTGGACAAAATGATATTGATGCAAATATACAATCCCTCTACCCTTCACAATATAGATGAAACTTCAAAACCCCTACCCTCTCCCTCCGTTTAAATTTCCGAGTTCCCTTTTACTCGCTTCGCAACAAAGAGAAGATACCGCAAACAGCACCTAAGGCTCAACAATTTGCTTTTCTTATTCCAATCTATCTTATTTAACGCTGGCAATCCTAAAAACTCGCTGGCGCAATTTCAAGGTTTGATTCTCAAATTCTTAACACTGATACAAATTGTGTTCACTAAAGGTTTGCTACTCAAATTCTCTTTCAGATAACTAGCAACATAGCACAACCTAAATTATAACTTCATCTATTCTCAATTACATAGCTCATATAAGCAACAGCATTCAATCAAATTTAATATGCATTAAAACAGAACATATCAAAATATTATTTATATACGGAGTACTCAAAATTATATACCTGAAAGACCAATCTGATACCATCCCGAGTATCTACAGCAACAGGCATACATGAAGAAAAATAGCCACTATCAATAATTCGATGAACATCCTCCTGAACTTCTCTAACCGTCAATGCCGAATTCGCCCGGCACGCTTTCAACGCCATTAATGCCTCTGATTCCAAGTCCTTCATCTCCAATTCTTCACCATCTTTGTTCCTCACTAACACCTCACTAATCAACACTCTCTCCTCATCCTCCCTCCGAGTCCGACTCACCGGTGCCTTTGTCTGAGCCACCTCAATCGCACCACCACCACCAGTAGCACCACCGGGTTGAGCCTGAGTCGACTCGTTCAGTGCCAATGTCGAAGAGCACAGCAATGGTGATGGGAAAGAGCGCAATTTGATGGGTTTTCTGTGGAATTTGAGGGAATCTAGGAACTGGGTAATTGAGAATTTGGCTTGTGAGAGGGTGGAAGTTAGGGATTGAGAGCAAAATGGGAGGTGAGGGATGGGATTTTGAGGTGAAGAAAGAGGGATTTTAATGGCGGATGATTTAAATTCAATATCGCCATTGTTAAGCATAGTTGAAGAAATAGGAGTGGAATTGAGGCTTTCTATGGTAAAATTTAAATTGGGTTGATTTGAAAATTGGGGTTTGTTTGTTATCTGATCATTGAATTAGGGTTTTGGGGAAGAAAGGGTTTTTGGTTTTTGAGTGAAAGGCAGACGTTAAATTCAAGCAGACGATGTCAAACGCTCAAACCGGTCGGTCTGATAACAATATAACATTAATTTGGACTTCGAAGTATTTGCATGTTGGGTCATGTCTCATACAACTTGTTATATACACCCGGATGTAATGTATAACTATGATTATTTTGTTCTCATTTTGATAATTGTTTTTTATTTAATCATCAAATGAAAAATAAACACTAATTTTTTATTTTTGACAACAAAAACAAACACTAATCTTGGATTACTTGGGTATAGTGTACAACTATACACTTTGATATGTATAACAAATTCTACATGTCTTGGGTTGTAAGTTTTCAATTGGGTTGATCTATTGTGTTAGCAATGTTTAAGAGTTTAAAATCAATTTGTAATTTGAATTCTTGTAATGCTATACGGAGTATTTAGTGAAAATACAATTTAGTACCATATGTTTTAACAAAAAAGTTGTTTTTATCACAGTGTATAAATGTCATTTTCGCGAGTTATTTAGGGATAATGCTATAAATTCACGTACAAATATTAGATCTTCAACCTTTAACAATAAAGAGCGATTGTCTGAGTATCCGCCGCCACAATCACCACCGTTTGTCACGAGTTCGAGATGAACCACCAGACACGATGTAATCTTACCTTTTTCAACCATGTCTTGAGCAATTTTGGCAAAGATCGAAACCTATGAAGCTTTCTTCAAGCTAGCTTGGTTTTCGTCAAACAAACCTCACGACGCTCCTTTGTTAAAACCCAGGTACCGTTGAATAATACCTATTGAGTATCATTTTTCGGTGTGCTACTGTGCATGTGCTTGGAGGAATAATATGAGATAGAAAAAAAAATTGTGTTGATGTTAACATAATTTATTAATATAGCATATTAATCGGGTCAGGCTCTTAATTGGGGAAATTAGATTAAAAGTCCTCCACATAAGATGATATGGCCAACAAGCTAAGGATTACGGTGCTTAACAAGATTTCACTTGTCTATATTTTTCTTCTTATACATTGAAATTAGAAGAATTCGGGAGATTAAAAGTTATGAGTATTGTTTAGATTACAAACCAGAAGAACATTTAGGGTCGGAGAAAAAAAAAAAAAAAAAGTATACATGCTATAAGTGTAAGTATGTTCATAATATCACTTGTAATATGTAATGACATTATGACTCATCAAAGGGTTGAATGGTTGGTTGAAGCCCATGTATCCTTGATCAATTTTTGTATTCTATCACGCACCCTAATTCGAGAGTCATTTGGGCAAAGTGAGGGGATGATGAGATTTATGTCATGCTGACTTTTGATAGCATGTTGAATGACAAACTCAACCAAAAGTTTAAGGGTTCGTTTGGCATCGTTGTGGTTTTCTGTTTTTTGTTATTTAAAAATATATTATATATGTCACATAATGAATCAAAAAATATTTAGACTTATTAAAATCATGATAATTTTGAAAATTGACAACAGAAAAGTGGAAACACCTTTTTCTTGTTTCCTGTTTTTGGTTTTTAGTTTAAAAAAAAAAAACAGGAAGCTGAAAACAAAAAATGATGCCAAACAAGCCCTAAGCTAATGAGTTTCATTAGTTGATTTTAATATTATTGTAGTTGTAAATTGAACCTAAAATTGCTTATTTGTAATATGAAATTAGTGAAAATAAAGTGACAGAGCATAGCGACAACCGACCATTAATAATCTATAAGGCCTGAAAAAATTTATCAAATCAAACAATAAGATAGGATCAGATAAGACCAAGTTAGATTAGATAAGACCAAATTAAATCAAATAAGAACCGATTAAATAAGTTAAGGTGAATTCATATAAGCAAAAATGAGGTGAAAGGTCTAACAGTAACTATTTGAAGGAACGGTATACCGTATACTCTTACAGTCTTATGTGGCAAATGTGGGGGGCAACTTGTGGAATTTTTCACACAAAAAGTCTTGGTGGGAAAGAAACGACCAAAACACAAAAAAACAAATACAAATACAAATACAAATCAAATTCGAAATATTTTTTAAAAAGTAGGTCCCCGCTGATTCCCTTGTTGCCAAAGCGGTGTGCTGCACATCTTTGCCAAAATTCTCATCCCCAATTTCTTCGCCGAATTTCGGAACCCTAATTTTGGATTTTAGGACGTTAAAATCGTGCAATTCATTTGACAATTTGAGGTAATTTCCATTCACATATGCTCACTCAATTTTGTTTCATTATTTTTTTTTTTGTAAAATTTTCATATTCTTGTGATTTTTCTGGAAATCGAATAATTTTCTAAGTTTGTGGATTTTAATGTCGTGGTTTGTAGTTAATTCGCCAATTTAATTGAAAGATATTTGCGCGGTGAATTAGAGGCTTTGTGAATTGGTATTGGTGTATGGTATGCAATTTGAGGGGGAATTTTGATTGTGAAGCTCTGATTTTGCAGTTTTTGAAGTAACTAGGGTTTTGAGTGATAAATTAGATGCATTGCTTTGAATTTTGTAGATGTATGTAAGCATATATGATCAAATTCAATGATAATTTGATTCATTTGCATATGTTTTTAACTTAGTTTGCTTTACCAAGAAATTTATGCATTTTTTAAAATCAAAATTTCTTCTTATGGGTATGCATAGTGATTATTGACTTTTTTTTTTTTTTTTTTTTTTTTTAAATCAATATTAAAAAAGCAGGTTTGAAACTGAATTAGGTGTTTTTTAAAAAAACATTTTAAAATCATTTAAAATGTTGACTTGATCAAATGTTATGGCATCTATAATCTGAGTTCAGGAAGAAAACTAATCTATAATCTATATATCTGATTCTTAACAGGGTTGATAATTGAAATCTTGCTGCAACTAAAATGGAAGTGAATGGAAAGTTTGATCTAAATGTTCCTTTATTGGAACCTCAGGACAGTGTGACGGTTAACATCTATCCACCAAGTCCATGTGGCGTCGAGAAGATTAAAGTGGTGAAATTCCAGATAAAGGGTATTGAGTGTGCATCATGCTCGAACTCAGTAGAATCCGTGTTAGGGAAACTCAATGGAATTAGGAGTGTTGTTGTATCATCAATGGATGGACAAGCTGTTGTCAAATACATGCCGGAAATTGTTGATGTTAGTGGCAAATTCTAACCCTTGTCATGTGATTTTACGGTTCTTACTTTTTCAGTTGAATTGTTACTTGAGTTACATCAGTTATTGCTTCTTGTCATTTCTCTCCTGCTCTCTTTTGAAGGGAATGAACCCATAGGGATCAGGATCCTGCATTCCTGCCCCCCTTTTTCAACTTCAGAAGATAAATGTTGCTGATCATTTCATATGTGGATCCTATATAACAGAAATGAAGGTGCTAAATCTGAAAATTGGATTTATGCTTTAGGATTGAATATAAATGTCAGCCTAATTACAAATTTCTAGCTGATAGTTAAGCATTTTGATATGCCTTGCTGATTTCATAATCTCTTATTTTTACATGTTATTTGCTGTTTTATATATTTTCTTTGTCATTAGTGTCACCGTCATTAATGTGCAGAGTTAAGAATCTTAAGATTGATATTTTTTTTTTGTCTGTTTTTGTAGTCAAAAAGAATAAAAGAAACCGTAGAAAATGCAGGATTTCAAGTTGAGGGGTATCCTGATCAAGAAATAGAAGTATGTCGACTGAAAATAAAAGGAATGGCATGCACTAGCTGCTCAGAGGCCGTTGAACGCGCACTCTCAGATGCTGATGGGGTGAAAAAGGCCGTGGTAGGTCTTGCTCTTGAGGAAGCCAAGGTTCACTTTGACCCAAATGTCACAAACCTTAACCAAATCATAAAAGCGGTTGAAGATGCTGGTTTTGAAGCTGATCTTATTAACCCTGGGAATGATGTGAACAAAGTGCACCTAAAGCTTGATGGAGTTCATACCCTTGAAGACGCCAACACTATTAGAACTGCTCTTGAGCTAGCTGTTGGTGTCAATCACGTTGACATGGATATGGAAGAAAAAAAGATCACTGTAAGCTATGATCCTGATGTAACTGGTCCTAGATCTCTGATAAAATTGATTAGAGAGGCTTCTACTGGCCTAAATTCGTATGATGCAAGCTTGTATGTCCCTCCAAGACAGAGAGATTTGGATCATAGAAATGAGATTCATAAGTACAAAAATCAGTTCTTATGGAGTTGCCTTTTTTCTGTCCCGGTGCTTGTTTTCTCCATGGTACTCCCAATGCTTCCTCCTTATGGGGATTGGTTAAACTACAGGATTCACAACTTGCTTACTGTTGGAATGTTGCTGAGATGTATCCTTTGCGCACCAGTGCAGTTCATCATTGGACGAAGGTACTTTTAAAAAAAAATTGGTTTGTACAAGTGAATATGCTACTTACGATGTCTTTCTAATCTGGTTTATGTATCATACTGGATGATGTTGTCTTGTCAAAACACTCTTTCTCAGGTTTTATGTTGGGGCATATCATGCGTTAAGGCGAAAATCTGCTAATATGGATGTTCTAGTGGCAGTGGGAACCAATGCTGCTTACATCTACTCTCTCTACATATTGCTTAAATCCCTGACTTCCCTTGACTTTGAAGGGCAAGATTTTTTTGAGACAAGTGCTATGTTAATATCTTTTATTCTTTTGGGCAAATATTTGGAGATTGTGGCGAAGGGGAAGACTTCAGATGCTTTAGCAAAGCTGTCAGAGCTTGCTCCAGATACGGCGTGCTTGGTGACAATGGATGGCAGTGGAAATATCATCTCAGAAACAGAAATAAGCACTCAACTTATACAGAGAAATGACTTGTTTAAGATTGTTCCTGGAGCAAAGGTTCCTGTTGATGGGATCGTTATTGATGGTCAAAGTTATGTAAATGAAAGTATGATCACGGGAGAAGCAAAGCCAGTTACTAAAAGACCTGGTGATAAGGTATAATTGAGTATTGTAGATTGGTTTTTGTTTGTGCCTTTGTCTCTTGGAACAACTCAATGATGGACATACCTGCTTGATGTTGTAAACAGGTCATTGGTGGGACTTCAAATGAGAATGGATGTATCATAGTGAAGGCTACACATGTTGGATCAGAGACTGCCCTTTCTCAGATTGTTCAACTTGTGGAGGCTGCTCAGTTGGCCAGAGCCCCTGTTCAGAAGTTGGCTGACCAAATATCAAGGTTTTTTGTTCCAACTGTAAGTTCATTGTTTCCATATTGACCTGTTATTATGTTATGCATTCGAATCTTAAAGTTCTCGAGGAAAATATGCGGGGTGATCTGATCAGGATGCTAAGCTTGAAGTCATAAACTAAATCTCATAAGTAAAGTATGTGGGTTTATCTGATCCTTTGTGTTAGGTGGGTATGAATGCCCTCTTGGCCTAGCTAGCTTGTCATACTGTTAGGAGACCAGGCTTTTATCTGGGGAGGACTGTACATTATGTTGCACTTGTTATATTCTATTCAGACTTGGAATTTCAATTTTTTAAAAATTGTTTTCTTATTTATTTTGCATATAAAGTATTTATGGTTATCTTTTCTTGATTCAAAGTGATAATGTTGACCTTTAATATTGATCAAATATAGGTAGTTGCTGCAGCATTTATTACATGGGTTGCATGGTTTGTCACTGGAGTAGCTGGTCTTTATCCAAAACATTGGATCCCAAAAGCCATGGACAAATTTGAACTTGCTCTGCAGTTTGGAATATCTGTTGTTGTGGTTGCTTGTCCATGTGCTCTGGGACTGGCGACTCCTACTGCAGTTATGGTTGCTACTGGGAAGGGTGCTTCACTTGGTGTGCTCATCAAGGGGGGAGCAGCTCTACAGAAGGCACACAAGGTAAGTTTGGCTTTCATTGGCTTAATTTTGTCATTTGCTCAGGTTATTGCATACATGTCGAGAAGACCTGAGATAAATGTAATAGGAGGCCTAGATATTCATAACTGTGGATCATGACTTTTCCATTCTCTTATATACTGGTATCATTTTATTAAGTTAAGGCTTCCTTGTGGCTGCTGTGCAGAAATTATTCAAAAATGCCTAACTTTTATTTATTTTCCACGTATTATTAATTGCGTTATTTGTTTAAGATGATAGAATCAATTCATATTAGTGATAATAATGCAATTGAAACTATTTACATTTCGGAAATGTGAAGTTAAATACTTAATTGAAATTAGATAATTACCAAAGTCCTACTCTTATCATCCTTTCCTTAAACCGCCCTTGTAAATATGTGCCTCCCTTCAATTGTGTCAATATATTTACTTTGTATGTTATTGAACTAGAGTGTACCCGTGCAAAATGCACGGGATATATATTATATGAGAAAGATATTAAATATATACTATAAGAAAAAATTTACTTAGAATACGGGAAGTTGATTTTAATGTTGTAACTTAGACCCTGTTCTTTTGAGCTGTTGTAGACTTGTGTTTTGGTCTGCTCTGCTGAACTCTGCTTAGCTCTGCTCTACTGAATATTATTAATTTGTTGACACTTGGTTTTCCCTGCTAATTGCTATGCTGAAATCTTATGTTCTTTGCCCTGCTCAAAAGCTTAAAAGAACAGGGTCTACTCTTATATATATGTCGGTGGCCACGCAATGTGGCAAGTAGTTATGGGGTTTACCTTGTCAAAGCTATAGAGGTTACCGGGGTAACTTGGTTCAGTGATGTAGGAGTTTTTCTGCTCTTTTGCAAACAGTTTTTCGATGAGACCAGTTTCGCAAAAAACGTGTTGTATATATATATATATATTTTTGTTTTGGTTAAGAGAAGTTGAAGTTGTTTGGAAGGTATGTATTCCCTAAAAAAATTGCAAATAATCGAATGGTTGGGGATTTTGAGTGTTATGGTGAATTGATGATAAATGAACTATATACTCGTGGTACTGCATGTCATCTATTATACTACGTTAAAAAAAAATAATAACACAAAGTGAAATGTTATTAGTGTACTTAAAAAAAAGTGTAATATTAGTAATATTCCCTTGTAAAAAATACAAAAAAAAAAATAAAAAATAGTGGGATGGTAGTTATTGTTTTTTTTTTTGGAATCGGTAGTAGTTGTTTTTTTTTTTATTTTTCTAAAAATAAAAAAAAATTTATTTTTAATTTTAAATTTAAAAAAATAATATAAAAAAATAAATGCATGAGAACTCAAGGAGTTTGGAGCATTTATGTATATTTAAAAGGAAAAATTAATTGGTAGTTGTAGATTTTTTTTTTTTTTGTTTGAAATAATGGAGAAATGGAAGTTAAAGAGGTAGTTATTAAAAAAAAAAAAAAATTAAAAAAAGAGAATGCATAGAATTTCTCCATTCAAGAATTGGAGTATTGTGAGTGAAAGTTGAAAAGAAAAACTCTTAAATTATATATTAGATTGCAAGTTGAGCTATCCAAATGAGGAGCTAAAGTTTGGATGATTTGTCATAACTTTTTATATTTTTAGGTAGCAATAAGAATACATAGACCACCTCATGGATATTTACTCTATTTGGCCTATTTTAAAGGGAAACTAGATCTCACACTCACAGTGGCATGTTTTTTCAGCATTGATGTTACTGCTTTGAAGGATTGTGCTACTTTTGATGCAGGATCTTGATGTTCTTTGCTGTTGCTTCTGTTTTGATTAATTTATTGTAGGTTAAAGCTGTGGTCTTTGATAAGACAGGAACATTGACTGTAGGAAAGCCAGTTGTTGTCAGCACTGTTCTCTTTTCTGGGGTTACAATGAAGGAATTATGTGATATGGCAATTGCTATAGAGGTATGTGCATTTGGTTTGTTTGGCTCACACATCATGCATTATTCATGATATTTCGGAAAGTGAACATGATCTTTCATTTTAATGGCTCATATATTTAGTTTTTTTTTTTTTTTTTGGATAATTTGCCAATTACTACTGCAAGTTAATACCACTTTGTAAATTATAACCGCAAATTTAAAAAGTTGTGAATTACTACCGCAAAATATTTTTTGATGTTGCGATTACTACCAAACCCCCATTAAACCCAACTATGACGTCATTATATCCCTTTAACCCGTGTTTGACCATGGTTAAGGGCTTTAACCAGCCCCCCCCCCCCCAAAAAAAAAAGAAAATGGGTTAGGGATATAATGACGTCATGGTTAAGGGCTTTAACCATGGGTTAAAGTGATATAATGACGTCATAGTTGGGTTTAATGGGGGTTTGGTAGTAATCGCAACATCTTAAAATTTTTTTGCGGTAGTAATTCACAACTTTTTTAATTTACGGTAGTAATTTACAAAGTAGTATTAACTTGCGGTAGTAATTGGCAAATTTTCCTTTTTTTTTTTTTGAGGAAAAGTGTAATGTTTTAGTTGCCAGTGATTTAATACCTTTTTGATTTGAGAATCGGCAATCGTTATGACGGAACGTAAATCACTCTGGTGCTCAGCTGCTCTTTCCTCCAATATATTTGCAGGCAAACAGCGAGCACCCCCTAGCTAAAGCTGTGGCTGAACACGCTAAGGTTCAGCGTAAGAAACATGAATCATTGGCCGACCATGTTGAAGATGTAAAGGATTTTGAGGTGCATCCTGGAGCTGGAGTTTGTGGAAAGGTCGGCGAGAAGATAGTTTTGGTAGGAAACAAGAGGCTCCTGCAGGTTCATAGTGTTCCAATCAACTATGAAGTCGAGGAGTATATCTCAGGGACAGAAAAATTGGCTCAAACTTGTGTGTTAGTTGCCATTGATGGCAAGGTTGCAGGGGCTTTTGCTGTGACTGATCCAGTGAAGCCGGAGGCAGGCCATGTCATTAGACATCTTCAGTCTATGGGCGTCACAAGCATCATGGTAACTGGTGATAACTGGGGTACTGCAACAGCAATAGGAAGAGAAGTTGGTATTAATCAAGTTTTTGCTGAAACAGATCCAATTGGAAAAGCTGGGAAGATAAAAGAAATTCAGGTTGGATTGCTGATAACAATATGCATGGAATTTTTGCTTTTTCTCATTTCTCTTGCTGCCTTGGTGATGCGTTTATACGTTTGTGTGTCACATTAAATTTTTATCGCTAATAATTGGGATTAGATGAAAGCATGACCCTAGGTGTAGTATCCTTTCTTTGGAAACATTGTTGCTTTACCCTGTTTTTTTTCCTTTACACCCTTAAAATTTTCATGACAAAGTGACTATGATTATATCAAGATATAAGGTACGGAGTACGTAATAATGTAGTAATATGCCAAAGCTTGAATGAATAGTAGTAGGAATGAAGTGGCAAATTTGTTCTTGATTCTGACAAGTTAACATATAGAGATCAGAACCTAATTTTTGCGGGGTACTGTTTCTGTGCGTGTTTGTGTTAGTATCCCTGTGCATGAATGAAATTCTATCCGATATGCCTTGCTGTGGACTGTATCTCGCTTCTTATATAACCATGTGAAATAGTGAATCGTGGAAGTAACTGTTTTTTTTTTCCTGGTGCTGTGGAATTAGTGTATTGTATTTATTTGCTATTTCTGACTATCCAGATGAAAGGTCTAACGGTAGCAATGGTGGGAGACGGCATTAATGACTCCCCTGCCCTAGTTGCAGCTGATGTTGGAATGGCAATAGGCGCTGGCACTAATGTTGCTATTGAGGCAGCTGATATAGTTCTAATTAAGAGCAACCTAGAAGATGTCGTGACAGCCATTGACCTTTCTCAAAAGACAATGTCCAAGATTCGGCTTAACTACGTTTGGGCCCTTGGCTATAATGTCCTAGCCATGCCTATTGCTGCAGGAATTTTGTTTCCATTCACTGGTATTCGGCTTCCGCCTTGGGTTGCTGGGGCTTGCATGGCCGCTTCATCCCTTAGTGTGGTCTGTTCTTCTCTGTTGTTGCAGTCTTACAAGAAGCCTTTGAATGTTGAAAGAATTTGATGACCGAAGCTTTATCTTCAAATATTTAGGCATAACTGTAGAGGTTTTTATTGCCAAGTGTAAAGTATGTTCAATTATTATTTCTAACTGTTCTAATTGATTCCCATAATCTCAGATGCTTTACTTGATCTCTTACCCACTAAGGCATCGCTTCATATAGGTATCAACCATAAGAATGATACTCCGTCCTCATATAAATAATCCACCGGAACTGGTAGGATGATTTCTGAATTGGTCTTCTGTCTTGGACATCGATGTTATCAGCAGATATGCATCAGCCATGGAAATTAACAAATCCGTTTGTAAACCCTTTCTTTCACCACATTGATCGTATATTAAGAAATACAACTGTAATATTTAAGATAGCTTCCTATTACAAGATGCCCATAAGCGTAGGCAAAATGTATCGAATTTGTGCTTATTTGCAGCTTAATATTAGTCAAAATGATGCACACTACTCTCCCTCGAAAAAAATAAAATAAAAAATAATGCACACTACTTCGTAGGGAAAATGTCTAATTGTAACGGAGGTAGTAGAAGAAATAACGTGATCAAGACCTTATTGGTACACATATCTCCCTTATTTGTCATTTATCCAAATAGGAATACGAGTTGTATTAATTTAGGGCTTGTTCTTTTATGTTGAAATTCAGTTCAGTTCAGTTCAGCTCCTAATTTCCTTCTCTTATAAAATATTCAGTTTAGTTCAGTTCAACTCAGCTCAGTTCAATTCAGTCAATGAGAACAGACCCTTAGTAATGATAATAAACTACATCCTTTAACTAGCTTTTGTGATTTATAGTTTCGATAAATTATAGTCAATAATGATCTTGCTTGAATCGTCTCAGTTTATAATTTTATTAATTTTCGCTTTTTTATAATTTTACAATGTCGAGAATGAGAGAGTAAATACGTTAATCTTTAAAATCATGATAATCAAATGATGTCAACTAAATAAAAACAGCTTTTTAAAGACACTCCGATCAGTCCAAACTCCAAAGGAACCTCTCGCCCTTTCGGTGGGTTACCCCATTTCCTGCCCCGTATTTCAGGTGTTTTGCACTTTGCGTCCCAAAATTGTGGAACATCACTTCTTCCTTGATCGTTTTCTCTCTCCTCTACCCTGAAAATCAGGAAGCTTCTTCTGTAAAATGATTAAGGTAACTTAAACCCTAATTAAGTTTCCTAAAAGAAGATCAAATTGTGCTTTCAATCTTCGGTAATCTTGTTCTGTACTAGTTTAAAGTTTCCAACTTGGATATAGCTTCTATTGATTGCTTATAACTTTGATTGACTTCAATTTTCAAATCTTAGAAAATTTTGTACTTTGTTTGTGCTATATTGTTCCTTAATCTTTGAGTTTGTAAACCCTAAGCTGAATACTGTGTAATCAAGCTGTTATTTTTAGTGGGTTTCTATTAGCTAGTAGCAACTAAATTCGTAGGTTGTTGTTTGCTTTTTCTGGGGTTCTTCTATTCTTCGATCTTTGCTGATTGTTGAAGATAGGGTTTGAAATTAGGGAGGAATGGAATTTGTACTGTTTAGCTGAGGCCTTATTTGATTGAGGGAGATTAGTTCTGTAGTTGAGTTGTTGAAGATTAAGCTTTAGGGGTTCATATATTGATGGAAAGACCACGTTTAGGAGGCGGGTTTTTATCCGGAATGGGATCGAATGGTCGATTATTGGATATGGAAATGCCGGGGGATGATCTCCAACAAGGTCAGATGGGTCATCCATTAATGACCCATCAACCCCTTGAGTTACATCCCATGAACATGATGAGTGGCATTGAGAATGAGCAACCACTAGGGTTTGTAGAGGCGAAAGGGTTGTCGTTGAAGGGAATGTCAATGGATTTTGGTAAGGGGAAGGGAATATCTCTTGGGCGTTCGCTTAGTAATAATACGTCTAGTGAAGATGAGGAGCCAAGTTATACAGGGGATGGGAATGGTGAGAACTGTAATGTGGGAAAGGATAAAAAGGAATCTCCTTGGCAACGAATGAAGTGGACTGATAACATTGTTAGACTTCTAATAGCAGTTGTAGCTTCTGTTGGGGATGAGGGCATGTTTGATGCTAAGGATGGGTTGAAGAGGAAATCTGGAATGTTGCAAAAGAAGGGGAAATGGAAAATGGTTTCAAACATTATGATTAGTAATGGTTGTTGTGTTTCTCCTCAACAATGTGAGGACAAGTTCAATGACTTGAATAAAAGATACAAGAAGTTGAATGACATTCTTGGTAGGGAAACTAGTTGCCAAGTGGTGGAAAATCCGTCTCTAATGGATGCCATGCCGCACTTGACAGAAAAGGCGAAGGATGAGGTAAAAAAGATATTGAGTTCAAAACATCTGTTTTATCGGGAAATGTGTGCTTTCCATAATGGTCAGAGAATACCTGGCTGTCATGATATTGATTTACAAGCTCATATAATGCCTCTGGCTACCCATCCAAATGAAAACAATGTTTCTGAGGTGCATGAAGCTGATGAAAATTACGAGTCAGACAGTGATGAGTCGTATGAAGATGATGAAAAGAATGTTGATATCAAATCTGGAAGGATGGAGGGTTATTATGCTAGAAGCAACGTGAATGGAGGAAGCTCTAATTTCTCATTGTTGCCTGGCAGGCAGGACTGTTATAGAGTGGAATTGGAGTCCATGTTTCAAGATGTGGCAAAATCTCCTGCAGAACAAAGATCATTGATTCAGCAACGAATGTGGCAACTTGAGGTGGAAAAGGTCAAGTTGGAGGCTGAGGCACTTGATCTTGAGAAACAGCGGCTTAAATGGTTGAGATTTCGCAGCAAGAAAGACAGAGAGCTCGAGAGATTGAAGTTGGAGAATGAAAGGGTGAAACTAGAGAGTGATTGGATGGTCTTGCTGCTTAAGCAGAAGGAAATGGTGTTAGGTATGCCAAAATCAGAAATGTCGTTGGAGCCCATATCCCTGAGCATTGATAGATTTCAAGGAAGAGATGGAATCAAAGCTGATAGGCATCTGTAGCTGCTAAAGGAAGTAGGTCAGCTTTCTTACTGACATATTATTTGTATACCACTTGACTTTATACAAGCATAGCTTGATCTGAGGTGAAGAATTGTGTGTAATGCTGTTAATTTCGATCTTCCTTAAATTTTAAATTTTGTTTTCCATCCCAGAAAAGTAGAGGAACTACTCTATGCATATCTGTATCTTGTTTTTTTTTTTGCTGAAGAATATACTCTGTAGAAATTAGATTCTCATTTACTCTGCTCACAATGTTATTTGACTAATTACGCTGACACTATGAAAGATCTGGACTTTTCTGCTTTTTCCAAGTAATGCTATTATTTATGAGCACTGAATCTTTGATTGCCAAAACGAACTAATTGAAGAAACCTGATTGCAAAGAAAACTTGTATGATTTTGCTAATTATGCTAATCTGATATTTGTTGCTGAATTTGTTCATTGATTTGACCATTTGATTACTTGCTGCTTAAGCTAAATTTTCTATATCAGGAATTAAACATCCAAAATGCAAGCAAAGTAGTCATCCCCGTTATATTAATAGAGGACTAAGTGTCCGAGTTCAGAGTTTGAGTTGCTTCCTCGGCTTCTTGTTAACTTCAAACTTCGTCTGTATTTGCTTCATCTTACTTGTCCACTTAGCAATGTCTAATTAATTGCATTGTTTATTCACTTTGGAAGTTGCTGTTGGTCCGTACTATTAAGCTGAGTGTGCATCATCAAGCGCGTATTTTCCAAAGAAAATATTTCACTACTGTGAGTCATTTTTTGTTTTCCCTGTAAAAGAAGATACACTCAGCCACTCACCATAATAAGAGGGATTGTGTATCGATGGACCCGTCTCATAACTCTTTCATTGAGTATATAAGGTTAATGAACCATTTAATGATTTCATTCTGTCTTCAGCGCATATCATCTTTGTCTTAATTGGTAAGGTCAGCTTGCATTTTTTACATCTGATATCTTGATTTCCCACACCTGAAAACACATAGGGAAATAGACTATTACTTGTTCTGTACTGCTATAATTTGCATTGGGTGATAAGCTGGTGATGTATATACTTTTTGCAAAGCTGACTCATTACTGCCCCCCTTATAATACCATTCTGCTTTAGATGGAATTGAGGTCAGATACCACAAATAGAATGCAAAAGGGCATTTGTTTGACTCCTTCATTGCTGCTACTGTTTCTCAGCATATTCGCTTGGAATTCTGGCTTTCTATTAACATGCAGGGCTTACATTGTAAAAAGTTGTTCTGGTCATGGAGGCTGATTCTGCAAAATGCAAATATTTGCTTTGGTTGATGACGACACTTGATAATCAGCGGTCTGCAGGTTGACCGTGTTTCCAAATCAACCTGTCAAAGTCAAACAGGTTGGTCGCACTGTTTGGGATCTTGTAAGTTCTAGTTTGGGTCGATCATTTTTCTGGTTTTCTAGTACGAGTAGTCATTTTTGGCATGTTTCTGGTTGTTGCAATGAGAAACTCTTGTTTGAAAAGCAACATAAACTTGAGTTTGGTTCGTGTCTGACTTTTGTGAAATATACTTAACCTATACTTCATAATTTCTATAGTTGAATTGACTTTGTGGTCATGCATATTATTTTTTTAAGACAATTTTAGGTGACTTATTGCAAGAGTGTATTGCGATTGTTGTGAAGCTTTAGTTTTTATCTACATCAAACTTATTGCTAGTAAAGCTATTTACTTCGGAATTTGACTGAATACCTGAATTTGATTTTTTTTTTCACCCTGCTTTTAATTCATCTTTGATTGATAAAGAAAACTGTTGTTAAATTTGTATATTTAAGTTAAAAATAGTTATCGAGTAGTATTAACAAAATAAGTTTGTGGTCAAATTACTTATTTCTGTAAAAGAAAATTGTAGGTAAAAGGAAGCTTCTCTAGTCCAGAAAAAAAATCTGAAGAAAATTATTTTGCGTAACTTTATTGAAGAGCTAAGAAATTGTAAACGTGCGGAAAAGTCTGAGCTGTCTTAAGGTGAAATCAATTATGAAAATCTAGAAACTTAAGCCAGTGAAAGTAGCCAAAATGTTGGACCTCAATTATGCATTGATGAAAAATCTTTCTTTGGCAATGTGAACTTATTTCTGGGTTTATAGAGTGTGAAATAACGATCCTCAACGCGATTGGCCTACTGTGAATACTGTCATATTTTGAGATTGTTTAACATGCATGTTCTATTGTACACCACGGTGCTCGATCTACTCGACAATTTTATATGACTCGAGTATAAAGGTGTAATGTAGGATTGTAGGGTATGTAGTGAGTAAGTAAATACTTTTATATAAATCATAATGTGTCTTGGTTTTGAATCTTGTAGATCTTAACAAAACTAATAAAGAAAGTCCAAGATGATGGATGAAATAATATTGATAATTCCCATGCCATGGGTTGCGTTGGATGGAATAATAAGAAGATGATGATAGCGTAGGTATGATGGAAATTGGAAAGATGAATAACAAGTAGCTCAATGCACATGTTGCATTATGCTTGGGCAACTTGGCATGCATGGTCCATGCACATGTCACGTTATTGATTATTTGGAATATTCTACCTCTTGCCGTTCATAAAATTTTTTTAAGTAAAAAAAAATTCATTAATAAAGAGTTATACGACATATATAAAAGAGATTCGATTTTAATAAAAATACTTAACATATTAAATCAAATAAAAATTTCTTTAATAAAACTATGATCGTCGAGTAGATATTCCATTGTACAACATCTCTTGCTTATAAACTCTTTTTTAAATTTCACCAACAAACATTTATTTTAAATGGCTTAATACAAATTACTATACATTCTATGTTCTTTTGTTGTTGTAAGAGTTTATTGAACTGAAATAATTTTAAGTAATTAAAACGTATTTTTACTAATTTTTAAAGATTAAAAATAGCTTTTACTTTATTGTTGTAATTGAATTTATTTTTGCAAAATATTACTTTATTATTTTAAAATCAAAAGAATATAGCCTTATGTAATTTATATATTGAGCTTGGTAGGTGAGATATGAATAAAGTTGCACTCAAGTGAATGACTTACTAATTTACTATTCACAAGTCACCTCTACCCAAATTAGTACGCTAATCTCTTTGGAAATGGGGAAGGATAAAATGCCCAAGTGCTCCTGATCCTATAATTTTGAGCTAAGGCCTTGTTCGACATAACGAGAATAGTGCCTATAGTGGGTAGCTTTTAGCTGTTGAGTAACGGGTAGCCATAAGAGTAGTGAGTAGTTATGAATTAGTAGTGGCTAGGGTTAGTTGTCAATGTAGTGGTGGATAATATAAGTATTTAGCAAAAGTAGCGTTTAAAAACTAAAGTACATACATATTGTTGAAAAGTGTAACCAATGACAACACCAGATACCTCTAAAATGCTATTTTTAACGTTTGAGAAAATCTATCTAAACAATAGCTCTGCCACTAATCGTTATTCAAACCACTACCTTATTAAACACTTTTATCTGTTTTTCATAGTTTACTTAAAATGCTACCCCAAATAGGACTAAGCAAATTTGTTTGAAAATAGGAAACAAAATTCACTAAAGCATGTTTTTTTTTTTCTTCAAATTTGCTTAAAAATAGGAACTAAATTATGTTAAAACTATGATTAATGGTTGAAAACAATTGAAATCCGTAAATAACTAATTAAGTTATGAATGGGCCCAAACCGTTAAAAATCAAGCACAGAAGTAGTATCTGATTCTCAAATTTGGTAGGTCAATTTTGAATTTCCTTTAATTTATTATTTTATAATATACGAGTAATATAATTTGAATTTTGAGTAATTGAAAACCACTTGCCTTTTCCTTACAATTTAGGGCCCAAACTAAAGCCATTCTTTCCTGTGAATTGGCCGCCGCTCATTTTCCACCAACCAAACAACCCTCTTCTTAAAGGTCGTCAACTCTCCATTAATTTACAATTCTTCATTTTCCTTGTACAAGTAAATCACAAATTTTCAACGGCTAAGAAAGTCAAAAGACAAACAGAATGCAGCTATAGGCAGAGAGGTATATACAATATTCTTCAGCAGCATCTCTAACTTAAAATTACAATTAAACACATTAAAGAACATGTAATATCACTTGATATATACAACAGTGAATGCAATAATTTTACCTGCCCTTTTTTAGTTGTAAGTTGGCGGAGTATTGTTTCAGGCTTTGTCTTCCCCACAGTTGGCTCACGGCTGAAAGAAAACAATTTAATTTACACAATTAGTTATAAACCCAATATATCAGACTATCAGTGGAACATAGACACCATTCTTTGTTTTTCGCCCATATCTTTTTCTTAATATTGCCTTTATAAAGAAGCAAATATGATAAATTTAAAACTTACGTCTTTCGATCAAGAAAACGTATTGAGACATCATTGACCTCAGCTTCAGCAATTTGTAGCCTTAGTATACCCCCTGAAAGAATCTCAACACCTGAAACCTGTAAGAATAGAATAATGAATCTTCTGCTCCAACTTATTACAGCTTTCGCCTTGGGGAAAAGGTAACAAAAGAGAATAATTTCATAACCTTAAAATGAAGGAAAAATGGAAAAGAATAATCCCACCTTTGCTCAGTCTTCCAAAAATAATCCCACCTTCTATTATTCCAGAAATAATCCCACCTTTAACATCAATCTTCTTTTAACAAGCCTTGACCGGTTTTATTAGGTTGGCAACTGGTTAGAGAAGGTAACTTGACAGGTGTTGCTATCTAATTGGTTATTTTGATGATTTAAAAAAAAAAAAAAAAAAAAAAACTCCCACCCTTCCTTTCCTTTTACCCTCACCGGAGATAGCCTCAGCACATGGCAGCAGCCGGCCTGACCAGCCCCACCCTCCCAGCCGAAGCCGACCCATTCCCTTGCCGCCTGACCAACCCGACACCTTCCCCTTCCTTTTCCGATCCCTTTCCTCTTTTTCACTTAAACAATCTCACCCCTTTTCCTTCCCTTTTCTCCATTGAATGTACTCCAAGTTCACCATCAGAGCAGCGTGTGAGCTTTCTCTCCCCCATTAAAGCAACTTCTAAGGTAACATGGATTGTTTATATTAATAATTAAAGGGTTTATCGTCAATTCAATTGGTGATTTGGGTTAATTTAAACATTGTTAATTGTTGTGCTGGGGCGACGCGATGGTGGTGACGGTAGTGGACTAGCATTGAATTAGTTGAGGGAGGAGGTTGCGGGGTGAGATTTTTGGGTGACAATGGTGACAACAATGGATTTTGTCGCTATGAAATGCGGGGTGCAAATGTCTCTCTTTCCTCCATTAATTTCCCACTACTTTAACCCTTCTAAGTAGCCATGAACAATTCACAAAGCCTTTCTTCTTCCTCTTATAACTCTTCCATTTTCGTCCCTGACTAGGTTTCTTTGTTTTTTATTTCCTCTTTGTTTCTACTATATATGATTTCCTTTTTATTTTTCTTGATGAATGCATTTTTTATGTTTCTTGTTTGCTTTCTTGCGACTAAAATCCAATTTTCAATCTTCTTAAATTAACTGTGGAAATTTGGAGAATGTGTTTTTTTTTTTCTTTTGGTTGTTAGACGACGATGGATTTTGTTGCTGGAGGTGAGTTCCAGGTGGGGTAGTGGGCTGGTGAGGATCGATGGTTAGCATTAGTTGAAGGAGGGATGGTGGTTTTGGTGGTGGTGAGGAGGTGGCTATTGGGGAGAGGTAAGGGGGGGTAGTAATGGGTGCAGGGTGGTTGGAAAGGAGGTGGGCTTATTTTGGTTGGCCATTAGTGTTGGGCGGCAGACTGGCAGTGGCAATGGCAGTGGTGATGGTGGAGAGGACTCGAGGAGACATGTTTCTAAAAAAAAAAAAGAAAATTATTTAACCGGTAGAACAAGTAACAAGTCAAAGGGCTTGTTAAAAGAAGATTGATGTAAAAGGTGGGATTATTTCTGGAATAATTGAAAGTGGGATTATTTTTAGAAGACCGAGCAAAGGTGGGATTATTGTTTTCCATTTTTCCTAAAATGAATTTTTTAAAAAAAAAAACAAAAAAAACAAATACTAACCATGCCAAAAAGGCCACGCTCCATATACCATCCATTGATGGATTCAATCACTTCATCCAAATGCCTGATATTGACCACTTTTCCTGCACAGCTTGATGACAAAATTTAATTTATTGGAGAGAAGACTTTAAGTAGCTCACAAACTTTAGCAACAGAGAGAGAGAAAGAAAACAAAAAAAAAAAAAAAAACACTATACCATATCCATCACGAAATTTATCCTCTACAAATTTGGACGGAAGAACATTAGCTCCTTCGCACACCAATCCCCGAAACTCCTGGTTTGGTTCTACCTTGTGCGACAAAAGAGAAAGCAAATCAAACAAACTAGCTACCTCAAAAAAGAAGAATATCTAGATTCAGGGCAGCTATATTCACCAAGATAATAAAAGCGTGATCATATAATATACCTATGGACATAAAGTAGGGCTTCAAGGGGTATTTAGATACTGACTACAGCACAAAACATATAACAAGGTAATATGGCATGTGCCACGAGCCCATGAGGATATATGACCGTGGCAGAGAAAATTAAATAAGCTCCTGGACAAAATGATATTGATGCAAATATACAATCCCTCTACCCTTCACAATATAGATGAAACTTCAAAACCCCTACCCTCTCCCTCCGTTTAAATTTCCGAGTTCCCTTTTACTCGCTTCGCAACAAAGAGAAGATACCGCAAACAGCACCTAAGGCTCAACAATTTGCTTTTCTTATTCCAATCTATCTTATTTAACGCTGGCAATCCTAAAAACTCGCTGGCGCAATTTCAAGGTTTGATTCTCAAATTCTTAACACTGATACAAATTGTGTTCACTAAAGGTTTGCTACTCAAATTCTCTTTCAGATAACTAGCAACATAGCACAACCTAAATTATAACTTCATCTATTCTCAATTACATAGCTCATATAAGCAACAGCATTCAATCAAATTTAATATGCATTAAAACAGAACATATCAAAATATTATTTATATACGGAGTACTCAAAATTATATACCTGAAAGACCAATCTGATACCATCCCGAGTATCTACAGCAACAGGCATACATGAAGAAAAATAGCCACTATCAATAATTCGATGAACATCCTCCTGAACTTCTCTAACCGTCAATGCCGAATTCGCCCGGCACGCTTTCAACGCCATTAATGCCTCTGATTCCAAGTCCTTCATCTCCAATTCTTCACCATCTTTGTTCCTCACTAACACCTCACTAATCAACACTCTCTCCTCATCCTCCCTCCGAGTCCGACTCACCGGTGCCTTTGTCTGAGCCACCTCAATCGCACCACCACCACCAGTAGCACCACCGGGTTGAGCCTGAGTCGACTCGTTCAGTGCCAATGTCGAAGAGCACAGCAATGGTGATGGGAAAGAGCGCAATTTGATGGGTTTTCTGTGGAATTTGAGGGAATCTAGGAACTGGGTAATTGAGAATTTGGCTTGTGAGAGGGTGGAAGTTAGGGATTGAGAGCAAAATGGGAGGTGAGGGATGGGATTTTGAGGTGAAGAAAGAGGGATTTTAATGGCGGATGATTTAAATTCAATATCGCCATTGTTAAGCATAGTTGAAGAAATAGGAGTGGAATTGAGGCTTTCTATGGTAAAATTTAAATTGGGTTGATTTGAAAATTGGGGTTTGTTTGTTATCTGATCATTGAATTAGGGTTTTGGGGAAGAAAGGGTTTTTGGTTTTTGAGTGAAAGGCAGACGTTAAATTCAAGCAGACGATGTCAAACGCTCAAACCGGTCGGTCTGATAACAATATAACATTAATTTGGACTTCGAAGTATTTGCATGTTGGGTCATGTCTCATACAACTTGTTATATACACCCGGATGTAATGTATAACTATGATTATTTTGTTCTCATTTTGATAATTGTTTTTTATTTAATCATCAAATGAAAAATAAACACTAATTTTTTATTTTTGACAACAAAAACAAACACTAATCTTGGATTACTTGGGTATAGTGTACAACTATACACTTTGATATGTATAACAAATTCTACATGTCTTGGGTTGTAAGTTTTCAATTGGGTTGATCTATTGTGTTAGCAATGTTTAAGAGTTTAAAATCAATTTGTAATTTGAATTCTTGTAATGCTATACGGAGTATTTAGTGAAAATACAATTTAGTACCATATGTTTTAACAAAAAAGTTGTTTTTATCACAGTGTATAAATGTCATTTTCGCGAGTTATTTAGGGATAATGCTATAAATTCACGTACAAATATTAGATCTTCAACCTTTAACAATAAAGAGCGATTGTCTGAGTATCCGCCGCCACAATCACCACCGTTTGTCACGAGTTCGAGATGAACCACCAGACACGATGTAATCTTACCTTTTTCAACCATGTCTTGAGCAATTTTGGCAAAGATCGAAACCTATGAAGCTTTCTTCAAGCTAGCTTGGTTTTCGTCAAACAAACCTCACGACGCTCCTTTGTTAAAACCCAGGTACCGTTGAATAATACCTATTGAGTATCATTTTTCGGTGTGCTACTGTGCATGTGCTTGGAGGAATAATATGAGATAGAAAAAAAAATTGTGTTGATGTTAACATAATTTATTAATATAGCATATTAATCGGGTCAGGCTCTTAATTGGGGAAATTAGATTAAAAGTCCTCCACATAAGATGATATGGCCAACAAGCTAAGGATTACGGTGCTTAACAAGATTTCACTTGTCTATATTTTTCTTCTTATACATTGAAATTAGAAGAATTCGGGAGATTAAAAGTTATGAGTATTGTTTAGATTACAAACCAGAAGAACATTTAGGGTCGGAGAAAAAAAAAAAAAAAAAGTATACATGCTATAAGTGTAAGTATGTTCATAATATCACTTGTAATATGTAATGACATTATGACTCATCAAAGGGTTGAATGGTTGGTTGAAGCCCATGTATCCTTGATCAATTTTTGTATTCTATCACGCACCCTAATTCGAGAGTCATTTGGGCAAAGTGAGGGGATGATGAGATTTATGTCATGCTGACTTTTGATAGCATGTTGAATGACAAACTCAACCAAAAGTTTAAGGGTTCGTTTGGCATCGTTGTGGTTTTCTGTTTTTTGTTATTTAAAAATATATTATATATGTCACATAATGAATCAAAAAATATTTAGACTTATTAAAATCATGATAATTTTGAAAATTGACAACAGAAAAGTGGAAACACCTTTTTCTTGTTTCCTGTTTTTGGTTTTTAGTTTAAAAAAAAAAACAGGAAGCTGAAAACAAAAAATGATGCCAAACAAGCCCTAAGCTAATGAGTTTCATTAGTTGATTTTAATATTATTGTAGTTGTAAATTGAACCTAAAATTGCTTATTTGTAATATGAAATTAGTGAAAATAAAGTGACAGAGCATAGCGACAACCGACCATTAATAATCTATAAGGCCTGAAAAAATTTATCAAATCAAACAATAAGATAGGATCAGATAAGACCAAGTTAGATTAGATAAGACCAAATTAAATCAAATAAGAACCGATTAAATAAGTTAAGGTGAATTCATATAAGCAAAAATGAGGTGAAAGGTCTAACAGTAACTATTTGAAGGAACGGTATACCGTATACTCTTACAGTCTTATGTGGCAAATGTGGGGGGCAACTTGTGGAATTTTTCACACAAAAAGTCTTGGTGGGAAAGAAACGACCAAAACACAAAAAAACAAATACAAATACAAATACAAATCAAATTCGAAATATTTTTTAAAAAGTAGGTCCCCGCTGATTCCCTTGTTGCCAAAGCGGTGTGCTGCACATCTTTGCCAAAATTCTCATCCCCAATTTCTTCGCCGAATTTCGGAACCCTAATTTTGGATTTTAGGACGTTAAAATCGTGCAATTCATTTGACAATTTGAGGTAATTTCCATTCACATATGCTCACTCAATTTTGTTTCATTATTTTTTTTTTTGTAAAATTTTCATATTCTTGTGATTTTTCTGGAAATCGAATAATTTTCTAAGTTTGTGGATTTTAATGTCGTGGTTTGTAGTTAATTCGCCAATTTAATTGAAAGATATTTGCGCGGTGAATTAGAGGCTTTGTGAATTGGTATTGGTGTATGGTATGCAATTTGAGGGGGAATTTTGATTGTGAAGCTCTGATTTTGCAGTTTTTGAAGTAACTAGGGTTTTGAGTGATAAATTAGATGCATTGCTTTGAATTTTGTAGATGTATGTAAGCATATATGATCAAATTCAATGATAATTTGATTCATTTGCATATGTTTTTAACTTAGTTTGCTTTACCAAGAAATTTATGCATTTTTTAAAATCAAAATTTCTTCTTATGGGTATGCATAGTGATTATTGACTTTTTTTTTTTTTTTTTTTTTTTTTTTAAATCAATATTAAAAAAGCAGGTTTGAAACTGAATTAGGTGTTTTTTAAAAAAACATTTTAAAATCATTTAAAATGTTGACTTGATCAAATGTTATGGCATCTATAATCTGAGTTCAGGAAGAAAACTAATCTATAATCTATATATCTGATTCTTAACAGGGTTGATAATTGAAATCTTGCTGCAACTAAAATGGAAGTGAATGGAAAGTTTGATCTAAATGTTCCTTTATTGGAACCTCAGGACAGTGTGACGGTTAACATCTATCCACCAAGTCCATGTGGCGTCGAGAAGATTAAAGTGGTGAAATTCCAGATAAAGGGTATTGAGTGTGCATCATGCTCGAACTCAGTAGAATCCGTGTTAGGGAAACTCAATGGAATTAGGAGTGTTGTTGTATCATCAATGGATGGACAAGCTGTTGTCAAATACATGCCGGAAATTGTTGATGTTAGTGGCAAATTCTAACCCTTGTCATGTGATTTTACGGTTCTTACTTTTTCAGTTGAATTGTTACTTGAGTTACATCAGTTATTGCTTCTTGTCATTTCTCTCCTGCTCTCTTTTGAAGGGAATGAACCCATAGGGATCAGGATCCTGCATTCCTGCCCCCCTTTTTCAACTTCAGAAGATAAATGTTGCTGATCATTTCATATGTGGATCCTATATAACAGAAATGAAGGTGCTAAATCTGAAAATTGGATTTATGCTTTAGGATTGAATATAAATGTCAGCCTAATTACAAATTTCTAGCTGATAGTTAAGCATTTTGATATGCCTTGCTGATTTCATAATCTCTTATTTTTACATGTTATTTGCTGTTTTATATATTTTCTTTGTCATTAGTGTCACCGTCATTAATGTGCAGAGTTAAGAATCTTAAGATTGATATTTTTTTTTTGTCTGTTTTTGTAGTCAAAAAGAATAAAAGAAACCGTAGAAAATGCAGGATTTCAAGTTGAGGGGTATCCTGATCAAGAAATAGAAGTATGTCGACTGAAAATAAAAGGAATGGCATGCACTAGCTGCTCAGAGGCCGTTGAACGCGCACTCTCAGATGCTGATGGGGTGAAAAAGGCCGTGGTAGGTCTTGCTCTTGAGGAAGCCAAGGTTCACTTTGACCCAAATGTCACAAACCTTAACCAAATCATAAAAGCGGTTGAAGATGCTGGTTTTGAAGCTGATCTTATTAACCCTGGGAATGATGTGAACAAAGTGCACCTAAAGCTTGATGGAGTTCATACCCTTGAAGACGCCAACACTATTAGAACTGCTCTTGAGCTAGCTGTTGGTGTCAATCACGTTGACATGGATATGGAAGAAAAAAAGATCACTGTAAGCTATGATCCTGATGTAACTGGTCCTAGATCTCTGATAAAATTGATTAGAGAGGCTTCTACTGGCCTAAATTCGTATGATGCAAGCTTGTATGTCCCTCCAAGACAGAGAGATTTGGATCATAGAAATGAGATTCATAAGTACAAAAATCAGTTCTTATGGAGTTGCCTTTTTTCTGTCCCGGTGCTTGTTTTCTCCATGGTACTCCCAATGCTTCCTCCTTATGGGGATTGGTTAAACTACAGGATTCACAACTTGCTTACTGTTGGAATGTTGCTGAGATGTATCCTTTGCGCACCAGTGCAGTTCATCATTGGACGAAGGTACTTTTAAAAAAAATTTGGTTTGTACAAGTGAATATGCTACTTACGATGTCTTTCTAATCTGGTTTATGTATCATACTGGATGATGTTGTCTTGTCAAAACACTCTTTCTCAGGTTTTATGTTGGGGCATATCATGCGTTAAGGCGAAAATCTGCTAATATGGATGTTCTAGTGGCAGTGGGAACCAATGCTGCTTACATCTACTCTCTCTACATATTGCTTAAATCCCTGACTTCCCTTGACTTTGAAGGGCAAGATTTTTTTGAGACAAGTGCTATGTTAATATCTTTTATTCTTTTGGGCAAATATTTGGAGATTGTGGCGAAGGGGAAGACTTCAGATGCTTTAGCAAAGCTGTCAGAGCTTGCTCCAGATACGGCGTGCTTGGTGACAATGGATGGCAGTGGAAATATCATCTCAGAAACAGAAATAAGCACTCAACTTATACAGAGAAATGACTTGTTTAAGATTGTTCCTGGAGCAAAGGTTCCTGTTGATGGGATCGTTATTGATGGTCAAAGTTATGTAAATGAAAGTATGATCACGGGAGAAGCAAAGCCAGTTACTAAAAGACCTGGTGATAAGGTATAATTGAGTATTGTAGATTGGTTTTTGTTTGTGCCTTTGTCTCTTGGAACAACTCAATGATGGACATACCTGCTTGATGTTGTAAACAGGTCATTGGTGGGACTTCAAATGAGAATGGATGTATCATAGTGAAGGCTACACATGTTGGATCAGAGACTGCCCTTTCTCAGATTGTTCAACTTGTGGAGGCTGCTCAGTTGGCCAGAGCCCCTGTTCAGAAGTTGGCTGACCAAATATCAAGGTTTTTTGTTCCAACTGTAAGT